TCGTTTTTCAGTTTGGCTTGAGCATTTGAAAGAAGAAAACCAACTTCAGAAAGGGTTTGAGTCTATTTCATATGCTCTCTACTATCTTTGTTTTAATTTTAGCAGCTGTAAATACTGGATCAGAAGGACTTATGTGTATATATAAAATCAAACTTTATTTCATGTTCTTGTTTTTAAAAATAAATAACATTCAGAATGAAGCATAGGTTTTGATTTATGACATTAGCCAGTAAGTAATATAGAATAACCCACACTGATTTACGTCTTTCTTTTAGGCATTTTTTAGCTTTGCCTACAGGACAGTGGATTATGAAACCTTTAAGGCAATTAACGATGCTTGCCTTGTTTTTGATGGAAGACTTGTGATTGATACCAAATTCTGTACTAATGATGTCAGTATCAGGGCTGCAGGTCCGTTAACAAAATACTCCAGGAGATACTACGTAGATGAATGGACACATAGCAACTTCAGTTCAAAAGAGATTGGCTTTGAGCTTGCTGCATCTATGCTGAATCTCTTTGATCCAGCCCCTAAGCCCCTTCCTGAGCCACCAGAAGGCACAGATAGACTCATCCCCAAGTACAAAGGGTGCAAAATTAAAGGTATGTCAAAATGGATTTCTGTCATACTTTCACCCCTCTTTGGTGGTTTTGGTGTTGTATAATAAGGGTAGGTCCACCTCACCCAGGATGCCATCTAATGGCAGTAGAGTCCTCAAAGCTCTAGTCAGTGGAGAGAGGTGAGTTGCAATAAAAGGTTACACTGCCAGTTTTTGCTAATAATGGACCAAGTTGTGCTTTCATTTATATTGCAGTAAATGTGGAGTCTTTCCAATGAAACTCCGTGTCTTTCTTCCACGTTCAAGAGCAATAAAACTATAATCAGAACTTCTCAACGTGTGGCTACTGCACCAATATGTATGAGTAGAAAAAAAAGTTTATGTTGTGAAGTCCATCAAAACAAAATAAGTTCCTTGGTTTCTTTTTAGAGCTATTTAGTCAACAGAAAAAAAAAAAAATTATGGGAGAAGGAGGGCAAACAAGTACTTTTTTTTCTTCTTACGTTATGATTCAATAAATGTCATATTTTCATTTATGGCAGGAGGTGTTCTTCCTGGAGGTTATAATTACTTGCATATTTCCAAACCAGAAATACCCATCCGCTTGGACTTAGAACTTGCACTGTGTGATCATGTGAGTTAAATAATGTAACTTTTCTTTGCTTCGTCCTCCATTTGGAATGATGTTCTTATTTAGGATAGCACAGGTACATACATAATTACCACGCATCTTAAAAAAATATCTTGAGTAAGCATGGGTTTAAGTATGTATTTAGAGACCTTCCGGAACTGGGACTCATCAGTAAACTCTGGAATGGAACAAACCACATAAAAACAAATCACTGTGATCATTTGAAAATATTTAATTTATTTGAATGTAAATTCACTGTCATATTGTAAATGTGGAATACATACAGATAAGATTATCTGATAACTTCTTTATTGCAGTTCTTAATTCCTTTGCCATGAAATCAACCAAAACTGAAGGGGTTTTTGGTCCTTGAAGGCAGGAAACACTTGTCAGGCCCTAACGCCCTGAAGTCTTCATTTACTATTTGTAGCACTTTGGGTTCAGATAGCTCCCTGATGGGGCACTACAGCTCAACTCCTTGACCCTTCTTTTCCAGAGTTGGTGGCTCAGCACCATACCTGGTTCCTGAGCCATTTGTCTTGGCACAGGCTGCGAGGTTATCATGTTGGCTTTTCCTCAGGAGACTCTTTTTCAGACTGGCTTTCTCTTTGCTTGATTCTGCAGAGACAGACAAGTCATTTCTCAGTCATAAGGGGTATGTTGCTTTTGAAGTTCCTAGCACATATTTAATCCACAGCACATCAAGGTGGTGGTGGTATTTGCCATTGGATTTGCGAAGAACAAATCCAGTCAGCTAAGCCTTGGTGCATCATATAAATCAGGTACAGCTGGTGAACAAGTACGAATTACATAACTAACTCAACCTCTTAGATGTTCATTTCCGTACTTTCTGATATTTCGTGTCCTCAAAAGATGCATAATTTCTGTGAAGAGGATATAAGATAGTATTAGCTGGATTTCACTAAAATGTGCTTCCAGCCTTAGCGCTTAAGCTCTTTCCTCCCTGCAATAAGGTGCTATGAATGCATAGAGATGCTAAAACTCTGCAGTCTGATGGTGAAATTCAGTTAATTTCTAGACTAGTAGGAACAGAATATATTCTGAAAGGGATACTCCGTACTTCGCTGCTAGAAAATAGCTAGTGCTGCAACCATGGGAATTGTCTTTGAACAGGCAAGAGGGAAGCACTTCACACAGCTGGGCTACATAGGAGACTGTCCCATGACACAAACACAGAGACATTTCTCTTACTGGAGAACCTGACTGGTGAAACAAGAAAAGGACAAGATTCACGTATTTTAAAGCCAGAGGGGACCATCTACCTAGGCGAGCTCCTGTTTCGTACAGATCGTACCTTTCTTAGGGATTTCTGCATCAAGCCTGTTCTTGTAGTTGATGTAAAGAGTGGCTTTTAAAAGACTGCTCCAGTGTTGCTTTTAAAACTCGGACAGCAATGGTCCATAGAAAGAATTTTTTTTTTTTTTTTTTTTAAAAAGGGGTCCATGCTTTGTGGGGAGGAATCAAAGCGTGGCTCACCTTGTTTTCCAGCTTCAGAGATCCAGGATGAGCTGTCCAAAGCAGCACTTACTGGGAAGCAGAAAGGACTAACAGAGAGAAAAATGGGTTTTGTCACTCCAAATTGCTAGAACATGATTAGAATTCTTTTCCTGCAGCTTTGATTACCTGCTGTCTGAAAAGGGAACATCTTTAAAGCCACTCCAGAAACTTCATGTAAATCCTAAAAGAACTTCCTAAGGAAGAAGTAAGAGAAGCTAGTGAAATGTATTAGCTGAGAGATGTGGAAGTAACAAAGGTTACTGTAGCCTAGCAACAGGTTTTAGAAATACATAAAACTGGAACATGAATACAGCTTTAAAAAATAGCTTCAAGCTATTTGATCATCCCACTGTAATCCAAGGTTCGAAACAAATTTTTACATTTTTGTCTTTTAAGTGATTGATTTAACTAGCTGAAACTAAATGCTACAGTTTGAGCATCAACATCTGACATTATTATTCTTTTATTGATAGTAGATTGGTGTTAGCAACACTTGGCAACCCCTGTTCAAATGAGCAAGAGGGAGTCACTGAGAGCAGTTCTAAATCATATATGTGTATGTGTTTGTGTGTATATGTATACACATGCATATATGTGTGCATATATATGCAATGTAAGTGTAGGTGTCTGTATTTGTAAAGGCAATAGTAATTCACCATTTAAAAGTCTAGAACACCGCCTGATGGAAATGTCCCAGGAGATCAAGCCCAGCCTCTGGCAGTTGCAGGCAACCATCTAGTACATAGTGCCCTCTGTGAGATTTAGAAGTTTGCTTTAGAACTGAACAGGGTCCTTGGTATTTTCTTTCCTTGTGGGAAGGCTGTTCCAACACATCACACTTCCGACTACAGGAAAACTGCTACACAGAGCCAAAAATGCTCAAGTGGTATGTCATAAATCTTGGAGTTGTAACACTGAAGTTTGCTTGTGACTGCTAGTATCAACCCTCCGCCTACAATCACACAGCTTCGACGATTTGCCATGAATTTGGTCTCTGCACATATACTGTTTGTACGTACATATATAAAAATATATACGTATAGTTATCAATCTGGAGAGAGAGTAAAAGTGTGTTCTTCGTTCATCAGGATGGTATCCTGTGGTAAAAGATAATATGTCATGTGTATGCAATCATATGGACTCTGTATAATAAATTAGGATGAACAGAGTTCAATTCAGTTGCCTAAACAGAGGCGTCTAGTGTTGTTTGGGATGCCCCAGGGCATCCCTTCTGACCTCCAGCTGCTGCTCCAGGAGGTCACAGGTCTCCCATGGATCCTGTGTCATAACTGCCAGCGCAGTTTGGATGGCCCAGATACCCTTAGGTGTCTGAAATGGCACTCGGGGTTGGGGAATCGAAGCCCATGCTGCATATGCAATCGTGTGCTGCACGGTTTTGTGTGTGGTTAATTAAGGTCTAAACCACACAGAAAACCTTTGTGTCCAAACCACAGCAAAGTGCCTTGTTGTATATGGGTATTCTTGATTTGGAAAAAAAAAAAAGGGTTGCGGATTTTAAGAAATGGTAAATATCAGCTGGGAAACCCTGCATGTGCCAAGTCAGGTGTTTGTCCATCTCCACAGCTTTCCTTGTATTTTCTGTTTCAGGGGGTGGAGATTATAACCGGAGAGGCAAGACATGGGAATTATTTCAGGGTGCATATCAACAAATATAGTATGGTAGATAGCATCACTTGCTTTTCAAAGGAACCCTTTCCTGTCTCCAACTACATTTGCTTGTATGGACAGCATGAACGTCTTCTTAATGATCTTTATTATCGCTGGAATGCAAGGCAGATTACAGATCTTTACAGGTAAGATAAACTTGACATTGTGCATAAAATCTACATTCTAGCAGAATTTGTGTTTTATTTTATTACAGTTTGTCTTCTGTCTGTTTTTCCTTAGAACAAGATAGATTTTTAAAAATATTTTCCAGTATTTGGCAAAATTGTCAGTGGTAATGCAAGCCCTGAATATTTTCCTGGGAAAAGCTGTGTGTCTGAGATTTATTTAGAGAAAGAGCAGTGGTTTCCGTGGCCATCTTTCTTCTGAAAGAGCTTTTCAGTATCTTTACAACTTTTGCTTAGAATATTCAGTAGGCTTAGCTCATTAAGCTGAACCTGGACAATCCTTTTTTACAGAAGATTCATATTCAGAAGTCACTTTTAAAAGTCAGTGGTTTTGTCACTTTGAATCAATCTGGTGATAAAACAAACCCTAAAATTTATCCTCCTGATGGTGTTCTCCGTGTAAGGGAGTTATTTGAATGTTCTAGCTGGAGGCTGTGTCAGGACTCTGCATATTTAGTGACGGTTCCCCATCCAGGAGATTTACTCCACCACAGCACTTTGCAGCAATGAAACAGGTCTTGCAGATTTTCTGAGGTGCTCCCCTCTGCCCGCTGTGCCCAAGCAAGCGCAGGGCAGTCCTGGGGACTAGGTGTTCCAAGGCAGGGACTGAGGTTCTCTCAAATGGTGGGAGAGGCTAAAGAGCCTGGCAGTTTCTAGCCAAGATTTATGTGCTGTCTCCTCCGAGAGAATTTTTCATTGCTTTTGCAAATACAAACTTAATTAGGGAAGTTGTTATGGAGAGAGGAGTATCTGAAAAAAATGAGATCTACCATATCTTTAATCTCCTGCTACTTCTCCAGAATTTCATATCTTAAGAAATTACCTGGCCTAAAAACTCAAGCTTGTTTTATTCCTTATGCCTCAGTGAAAACAAGTGCTTTCAAGGTCAGGCTTGATTAAAAACAAAACAAAACAAAACAAACCCAGCCTTGAGTTTAATTCATGGGGTAGATTTTTTTAAGCATGTAATTGAAACAGGAGGTTAGGAAGAACTTGCTGCTACATCTTATTTTGATTTTAATTTTAAAAAAATCGCTCACAAGTGGTGGGTTGGGAACCTAAATTGTCACAGGGAGAGAAGTACCGCATTACATAAGCTGGTTTAGAGAGAGAAAGCCAAGCACAGGAACAAATGGTGAATTTTTATCATGGTACAAAACTAATAGTGGTGCCTTAAAAGTCCCCACATCTGATTTTGTTATATTTATAATAGACTTGAAGAAAGGTGTTAATGGTAGGTAAATTTTCGGATTAAACAATGTTATTTAGGTAACAGTTTGTAAAAGTTTGCTGTAAAGGATGTGCTGTGGTCCAGAAGAAACTTTGCATGATGACAGAGATCCACTGGTTCAAAAAAATCTGTAAGAATGAAGCACCTGATATCTTGACAGGGACTTGAGAGCCTCTGAATTCCTGTACCTCTTTCTCTAGCTTTTGCACTTCTGCTGGTTCAGTGTCAAAAAGCTTTGCCAGAACACGGATAAGGCATTGTACCTGCTAAGGCCAGAGAAATGAGGGTATCTGCTGAAATCAGGCAGGAGGGAGGATCCAGCCGTGCCCTTCAGTTAATGACAAAAGATGGGTTGGTGTGCCCTGTTTTGAGTGGTATCGGTGGCCATCTCAAAGGGTGAACTCCCCTGAAAAGGACTCAGGGCTTCACCTGGACTGAATGCGGGGCATTCACAATTCTCCTGATGTCTTTTGCAGTCCTCTTCCTGCACTCTCTCCTCATTGTAAATATTACAGAGTCTAGCTCCTCATTTTTTATTTCTCATCTTGTACTGAAAGACAGGATGAACAGAAACTTCAACTGTGAGGGTTAAAGGTTTCTTGGCCAAAATGCTTCTTACAAATTTCACTTCAGGAGACCTTTGTATGCCTCTGCTGAGAGGAGTGTGAAACTTGTGAATTATTGCTGCTACAGGAATTGATTTTGATTTACAGAAAATGCTGGGTTTGGTTTAGAAGAGAGGAATGGCACACAGCACATGTAAAGTTCACATAAACAGTATATTGTCAATAGGTGTTAAGTAGAAACTGAAGGAGGATGACACAATTGTATGAGATACAGGCTAAGACAGCAGATCATTTTCTTCCCTTGTCACAGCTGATGCTGACCAGCTAATACATTTTGAGCACTGGAAGAAACTCAATATTCAGGTTGTGGCAAGGTATCATCAGTCTTTTTCATGGTGTTACAATACGCAAACACAGCTGTGACCTGTCTTTTCTATGAAGGACAAATGTTGCCAGACACTTAGCCTTTGTTGTTTGCCCCGATGTGGTTAACAGTGTCAGTTGCTTTATGTACTAGCAAGTTTCACACCAGTATCAACATCTGGAAGAATAAATCATGTTGCTTTGGGATTTCTGCCTGCAACAGAGGTAGCAGTATTTTCCTGACCTTGACAAAACCAGCATGTGTTCCCTTTCTCTCTGTTGCTGCATGGTGGGCATGTTGCCCAGCCCAAGGACCTCTGTGCAGCTGCTCTTACCTGCACTCTGGATAGCTATGCACACAGATTTTGAAGAGATGAGACATTCTGAATGGACAGCTTATTTCTTCATGAGAGAAATTAGGAATGTATTAGCCTCCCTTGCTCTCATGATTGTGATAGGATCCCCACACAGTGCACGAGCTGATTGGGGGATTACAAGATCAAGTTCTAAACATTCACAGAGATTTTAAAAATCTCAGGAGAGATGAAGATGAAGATCTGTGACGATCTGTTAATAGGATGAGTCAGGCCAGTCAACATTATAAGAGTAAGAAGTGCAGCTTTATCTGATTGTAGCATATACTCTCACTGGGGGAGTTGTCAGTTCCTGCAAAATGGGGTGTATTTTAACTGGTCTTTGCTTACCAGGGTCTGAAGTTGTGCAGGGTCGGGGTTCTCTTGCCTCCACATACTCACAAGCACCACGACCTGCATGTCCGGGTGGTCTGGCCTGATCATTGGTGTGCCACACAGAGGGACACCACTTATCAGGTCCTCATCACGTCTCTTGAGCTCTTCTCAATTAGTGATGGAGAACTAATTTTGGACTTGCCTTTTACAGCCTTTAGATGTGGATGTTGTTTGGGATCTTTTGCCTCATTATTTTATCTCACTTCTCATTAGCCTGGGGCAAAATTCCTGAATTACAGTTGCCAGGTTTTTCTTATCTGGTTATTTTATTGCCTCCAGTCCTGTTTTTCACCTTCTTTAGATTTCTAGATTATCTTTAGATGGTTTGTTCCTTCTCTTCTTGCTATTTGGTCATTTGAATGAAATCACATATGTTGCTCTGCAGCAATTATCATACGCTGTTCTTTAATCCTTGCTCCCTTGTTTCTTCCGGTGCTTTCACACATGTGTGCACGCACACACACACACGCACGCGTACATTTCCATTCTTACCACTTAGCATGCCTGTCCGGTGAGGAGGATAGATTCTCTAGCTTGTTTAACAGGTGGGAGACAGAAAAGCAACCCACTGCAGTAATAAAGCAAAGCCCTGTGCAGTCAGTCAAGGCAGAGTGAGAAGGACTAGTGAGAAAGGGAAGAGACAGTGAGAGGAGGAAGCAAACTGGCTGTAATCTCCACATAAGGGTCCTAGCACAAAGCAAACTAGCACAGGAAATTGCTTCTTTCAGGAGGAGGCAGAGCAATGGAAAAAGGCTGGCAATGTAGTGTAGTCTCATAATATGTAATATCATATCCTATATATACAATACATATACATCCACATAATACCAATGCCATATGCAATGTACACAATATACAACAATATACAGTGTTAAAACCTAGCCATGAGAAGACTGTCTGTTAGAAAACCATTAAATTGAAAAATGTTTTAGCATCTCTTGTGAGATGGAGATTGACTCAAGGCTTTCACGTAGATAAAAAGTGATGTCTGGTCTTTAGGCAAGGAATATGAAAATGCATTCGTTAATTTCTATGTGTGTGATGAACATCACCTAAAACAGTTTTTCTTCTTTTTAAGTGGTCTATAATGCTCTCACAGGACCATGTGATGTTAGGACTGAATTTCTCTCTTTGACTTTGAAAAAAAGTCCTTTTAAACTAGTACACATTACACTTGCATCCACTTGCAGTATCTTCTAGCAAGATGTGAAGTGCCCTTAGTGAAAACAAAATGTAGACTGATAATGTTGTTGTTTGTTAGTTAAGCTTCTAAACTTGCTGGTTTGAAACATTCATTTCCCTCTTCCCTTCTTTATGCCTCTGTTTTGGGGAGGGCCTTCCTATAAGGCAAGGAAGTAGAATGTTTTAATCTTTTGGTTTGCATTTAGATTTCCCAGCATGGCATCTAGTTCCAGGAATGGACACAGTGGAACGGCTGTCACCTGGGAGCTAATTTATTTCTGTGTAGCATGCAAATTATCTTTTAAATAATTAGAGACTGCACCTAGCAATGAATTTCCTCACCGATTTGCGTTCGGTATAAGGGTTGAAAGTTAACCCCATGATACCGGATTTCCTGACCGTAATGTGCCAATGCCGTTTTCAAATTAGCATTAACAACAGGCCCTCAAGATTCAGCTAACTTGAAGAAGTAACCCCTTCCGGTTGTGCACGAGAAACTGCAGCTAATGGTAATAAGGAGGTAAATAACATTTCCTTTTGTTGAGAGAAAAGTTCCATCCATCTCTGTATGAGTTCAACATGATTAAAAGCTGCAGGACTTGACCCACGACCAAATGAAAGATTGAAATAATTTCTTTCACCTCCTCCCTTCCCCTGACAGTAAACCTGCTTTGTGGGGCTGAGCAGGGCGGTGGGCATGCATTGCCCTGCGCCTGCTGCACGTCAGAGGGGTCTACCAGTGGCTGCTGTCCCAGCCCAGTCCCACCCCGGGGAAGGAAGCCCCTCAGCCCCTAGATTTGCAGGACCAACAGTCCGATGCCCCTAATCACACTAGGACTGATTATGTATATTCACGCTGTTGCTCTTTAA